CTACCACTTGAATCGTATCCGCCTGAATCAAACCGGCTAGATTGTCCATATCATACACCTCCAAACGGAGGCTTTTCTTCTGAGCTGATTTGAATGGTTTCATGGCTCGGAAGTATGCATAAATCACAAAGTCTGATTTGGGTTCAACGATTCCGGCGTCTTGAGGCACGGAAAACTCCTCTCCCAATGAGTCCACACCAGCAAGCTTCCACTGAACAGGTAACAGGGTCGGATTACGTAGTGTAATGGAACGAACTTCTTTTCTGTTGGTTAAAACAATAAGAAGAGAAAAACCACACTTAGGTCATTGTCCCAGAAATGTAAATTTCATGGATTTTTTGCGACTTATTTCGATCTGAATCATGACAAAATTCTACCGTTTAAGCATGTTGCTTTCAGTCGTTTATGTTCCCAAAGCTATCAATGTTTCCCAAAGAAGAACGACAAAAGGTTTAGGTAGTTCATCAATTTCTGATGACGAATTTCTCACGTGAATGAGGTAAGCTGAAAAGCTAAAAGCACCGGACAACTGTTTTGACCTGGTTGGGTCTCATCACCAGTAAGTATCCATAGGCTCAACTTTGGATCGAACCTGCAACCTCACAAGTAGAACGCATGCGCGCTACCCACTCGGTCACCGGGCAGCTAATCAAACCGTTTCTCATTTTGAATATACACTATAAAGCACAATCCATCTTTACGAGCTTGTTGTGAGTATCGGTCCTCGCTCATCTCAGCACCAGCCTCTAGGGTCATAACTTGGTGGGAAACTTTCACAGCTATTTGCTGTGCAGATATTGACCAAACTCGTGCAACATCTTGATTTTCATCACATTTGTTCCTCTCAATGCTTTGCTTTTCCAGCCTCATTCACGGAATTGAATATGATATTGCCCCACATCAGACGGAACATATCTGATATAATACCCACTTATGTCACTGCTTCTGTTAGCCATATGCCAATAAAATGTACAATTTCGCTATTTTGACGACGGTTGCTGGCGCATCAGTTGTAAGATAACGAAGTCACGGTAGAGAATGTAACTTTAATTTAACTATTAAAATGGCTCATGGACTTTACACAGGTATTGTGCTTTTATCTCGTTCATGTTCCATTTGCCCTCCTTCATTTTTGAGGGCTCCAGGCAGTCGCTTTAGGATGGAATCCACCAGGTTGACTGCCAAACAGAATTTGCAAGTTTCCTCTAATACACCGCACACCCTTAACACCGGCGACCAATGGCAAGGTAGCCAACTTATCCCTGTTTCAGATAGAAGGAAATGTTTTCGATTAAAATAAAATCCCAGCTGGTGCGCGGTAATAGAGCGAATTTGACATTGAACTTGACCCCTCTAGAAACTGCATAAACGTGAAGAAATAATATTTATTTAGGTCTAACCGTTTTCTGCCACCAACCTCAAGCGAGCTGATATACCAAACTTTATGTATGAAAAGTATGACTCCCGCGAATGCATGTTGGGAGTGACAGTTATCAAAAACCTCCCTTATCAGTGCAGGAAATTTTGCTATGTCCATATTGACGTATGCAGGAGACTAACAACAATGCACTCAATATTCACTTCTCTTCCAACTCGTTAGGCGGGATAGATATTTACTTCTTTTAACAGGTAAAACGATATTCATTAGAAAACTAGCTCAGTAGATCAGCTTTCACAATATGCTGAATTACTCGTTGGCCACCAGTGAGAGAAACCCATTGCTAAGTGGGCGGGCGACGCGATTTGAATTTGTCGGTAAAATCAATACATGCTCTGCTTTGTTGGACGTTCAATAACGGCTTTATGTCACGTGGTCTCAGCTGCATTTTAAATTGGGCCACCATTTTCCAATCGGAAGCGTGGGGGAAAAACAGCTAATCAGCCCGGACTATCCTCCAGATTGGTTTTGTGCAACTCTTCTCTGCTGCGATCAAATACAACCATCATCTTACTTTGATATGGCTGGTTTTCTCCCTCTCGATTTACGTCTTCATGGAGAGATTTCGTTGAATATGTTATAAATTGGACTTATGTTCAAATTGAATCACTTTCACAAGACACCAACTGAATCCTCAGATTTATATGCCTCTCGATTGAGTTGCCCCTCGGCTTCAACTATATGCCAAAACCTTTTTGAAGTTTCATCCGGTTTGGGCATAGTGACACTCCAGGACGCTTATTCAACGAGCCGCACACCTCAAGGTCAACTTTCAAATTGTGTGTTTCTTGGACTGTTTTCAGTTCTTCCAGTATTGTAGATACTGCGTCATTTGTTTGTAGCCAAATAATTTATCAATTTACTCAAGCTAGAATATTTTCAATAATTTGCTTATTCACTGTACACTGAATGAAAAGAGATAAGCAATTTACAATACATGTGCTGAACTTAATAAACAATCTCATCGGACAGGATACATCTTTTAAAAAGAATGAATTCCCATGCTGCTTTGTCTAAAATATTTTCAAAATCAGAGCTGTAACTTTTGAACTACTACAAATTTTATCGTGTCACTTAAGGTCACGCAAATTCTAACGGTGACAGAAACAAACTAAGAACATAGATATTGGAGATAAAGGCAGAAATAAATACACTTAACTCATAGCCATCTATATATATGTATGATATTGCAAGCTGAAATGGATTTACAAAACGGAGGTGATGTTGCACGAGTTTAGTCAACACCTGTATATATTTGTAATATGTTGATAATCTATTTTATCCAGTTTCAATAGGTTTCGATATAGTCTACTCCTCATCAACCTAATTCATCTGAGTTTTCTCATTTGCTTTCTATCAGGCCAAATACAGGAAGTGTTGTTTCATCCTGCTTCAACTTTTAGCATGGGAAAACACTGAACTTATCTGGATAGAATAGAATGGTGTTTATCAGACACATTATTGCATCACTTCAATTCATAGATCCAAAAGTTAATGAATATCTGTTGATAGACACAGAGTTTTGGGTAATCACCGTTGCTCACTGGAGCAAATCTTCGACCTCCATGGATTGGGTTAGCTAATGCATTTGGTGCGCATACCATCAAGCAGATTTCCATGACGTGTGATGTTTCCTAGATAGATACTGAGTCGGAAAAAGGTGGCCAAACTAAGATTTGATATGAGGGTATGAAAACCCTGGCCGGGAGACTCTCACGCAAGCCATGTTAGAACTCCCGAATAAGGACCCCGGGGATCGGTGTTACCGATTCTTGGAAACACTGAGTGATATGACGGATTTTTCGTAAGCCATAACGCTCATCTGTCCACTGATTTTATTCGCCAACTTAGTCTACTGAGTTATCTGTTTTCACATTTTTACTGCTATGTTCTACCTAGGCGTACTATGAACACGGGCGCCTTCTCCTTACTCCCCAATTATAATACGGGAGAGAGAACACCATTGGAGAACAACAATAAGTGTGTATTCTATGATCACGATGCGATATACAAATATAAGTGCGTAAATTGAGCGTAAGTTATTGAGATCACCTAAAACGGTATCTAAACTTTTGCTACAACATATGCTGCTTAGCGAGACCATACCTCCTGTGTGGCCGCATCTCATCTCTGCATCTGAAATAGTTACATCGAAGCAATGAAAGTGCACACAAACGCAATGCTCTTAAGAGTGAAACTCTTATCAATTGCTATCAAAGGTGAGCTACATCGACTGAACGGCGTCTACACTAGCACATTCGTGCACAAAAAAAACCTGTCAGGGACATGGAACACCGTTAAGTAATTGAGTGATCGATCCTCAATCGTGTCTCGAACAATAGACGTTGAGGAGCTAAAAGGATCTTCAATGAAGTAACCAGCAACAGAGAGTCGGGGCCGGTCACGGATGTTCTGAAAGAATTGCTGATTATCAAACACAATAAATCACTTTCATTAGTGCTTGGAAAACGGAATTATACTTCATTGTTAAAAATCTGCATCCATCCCTCCAATGCCTAAAAGGCGAACCTCGAAATTCCGTCCCATTGCCTACAAGTCTATCGTGTTGACATCTAGAATGAACTGCTATAAGAAGCACATTTTTATTTATTCTATATGGCTCTAGTCCATTGGTAGTTTTTAAGCTGAATCTCATCCAGAAGAGGCGAATAAAGTCATGAAATTAAGCGCCTAACGAAACTTCGAACCCGACTTCATGAAGGAGAATGGACGTCCAACACCTTAGTGTGAATGGTTTGGTTGTTCATGTGACCTGAACAACCTGAGACACTGGATGATCATCTCTTATTGTGCAGTTGTAGTGGCAAAGATGTATTCGGTTGTGCTTAGAACAGCCTCCCTAAAGCTAACTAAAGCTACAATGGAAATGTTGTCAGTGGTCCACCAGTCATCTAACCATTGAATATAAGCCAGACCCTAATCAAACTGTCACCAGTTTTAGAAATAACATCACACCTTGATTTTGAACCAACATCCAACACTGATTCGTTTGTTG